CCCCCTTTCTTTCTGCTCGGCCGTCGCCCGCAGTATGAATAGTTTCTTGTTTTTGTTTGGTTTTCCTAATCTATTCATTACTTGTAATTGCTCGGATTGTATGCAAATGGATTCCATGCGATGGGAAGCTTGTGACCTGGCCCCTGGACATTATTCATGGTAGATGAGTGCTTCAAATCACACGGCGTGTGTGTGTGTGTGCGCAGGAGGGGGAGAGGCAGGACCTACACAGGGACCCAGAGATCTCACACAGGGAGATATAACCCATATAACAAGCATTATATCGGTACCCAACTTATCTCTGGAGCTGAGCACCACCAGGAGTGGAGGAAAAATAAAGGCTCTTACTCATCCATCCAGCTCTGGAGAAGAGAACCCTCCAAAAGAACAGCCTTTCCTTAAACATCTGCATCAACAAATATCTTTTTCTTTGGGTTTTTTCTTTTTTTTTTTGGTGTGTGTGTCTGAACACTCACGAGTAGGGATGGGAAAAATGAGAGAAGAATGCAAGTTGACAAAACCAGCTGTTCTTAAATTAATGTTTGCAAATACTGGGGCCAGTTCTTCAGCTGATTGGTCATCAGAAGATGTTGCTACTTCCTACTATTTAAAGATTTGGGCCTCTGTTTTGCAATGGATTCACCCAGCTCTACTCGCTGCAGAATCATGACAAAGATCTAGTTATTTTTAACCTTCACAGAGTCCCTCCTTTGAGCAACTTTGTATCTCTCAAGGTCAAAAATCCCATTTCCATGTCCCATTTCAGCTTGGATCAGCAGGATCCTCTTGTTTTCACTGCAGGCAGCTGCTCCCTCCCAACGCTTGGCCAAAGGACTCACCCTACGTGGAAAAAGCAGCGAAGCACCTGCAGGTGTTGTCACTCGACCTGATGAGAACTCACTTGCTGGGGTGGCTGACGAGGAGAAATGACGCTGCCGTTTCCTGAAAAAAAAGGTTTTTTGGCATTTCAGATCCAGCTAGGAACTCACTGAAAAAAAAAAAATAAAAAAAAAAGGATAAAATCCAACCAACAGCAAACCCTATAAAAACCACTGAAGAGTTAGGCTATGACTTAAGTTGGTAAAATGCCAGAGTCCAAATTTGGGTGGGGAGAGCTGCCCCTGTTTTTGACTTGGGGAAGTTCACAAGCAATTAAATAACTATTAGTGCCGCTTTTCTTTATTATTTTTTTTTAATTTTTTTTTCCCTCTCTCCCGTTTGCCCTGGAGGTAGGACTCTCCCTCGGTGGGTTCCCCAAGGCTGTGCCCACACGGAGCTGGAGGAGCTCGGGGTGGCCGGGCTGAGGGGTGAGAGCAGCAGCTCCCTCTCTGCTGTTCCCAGCTCCAGCTCTGACTCACTGAACCATCACGGCTCAGGAACAAGCTTTTAAAAAACAGAAATTACAGGCTGTGGTGGCGGGTGCTTCTGGGCCGTCACTGAGAGGAGGCTCTGCTCCTTTCACTGAAGGCCACGGCGTGCTGGCACCACGTCAACAGGCTGGGAGCTCCGAGAAGCTTTGTGAGCCAGGGAGCAGATCAGCAGCTCCACTGGTCATCACAACGAAGGCAACGAAGCTGGTGAGGGATCTGGAGAGTAAGTCTGATGAGGAGAGGCTGAGGGAGCTGGGGTTGTTCAGTCTGGGGAAGAGGAGACTGAGGGGAGACCTTATTGCTCTCTCCAACTCCCTGAAAGGAGGGTGTAGAGAGGTGGGGGTCGGTCTCTTTTCTCAAGTCACAGGCGACAGGACGAGAGGAAATGGCCTCAAGTTACACCAGGCTGGATATTAGGTTCAGGTTCAGGCTGGATATTAGGAAAAATTTTTTCACTGAAAGGGTCATCAGCCATTGGAATGGGCTGCCCAGGGAGGTGGTTGAGGCACCATCCCTGGAGGTGTTCAAAAGACGGGTTGATGTAGTGCTGGGAGGTCTGGTTTAGTGATGATGCTCCTTGTTTGTTGTGTGGGTGTCTATTTTTGTCAGTTAGGTTGACGGTTGGACAAGATGATCTTTAAGGTCCCTTCCAACCTAGAAGATTCTGTGATTCTGTGAACTCCCTGAAAGGAGGGTGCAGAGAGGTGGGGGTCAGTCTCTTCTCCCAAGTTACAGATGATAGGACAAGGGGTAATGGGTTCAAGTTGTGCCAGGGTGGGTTTAGACTGGACATTAGGAAACAATTCTCCACAGAGAGAGTGGTCGGGCATTGGAACAGGCTGCCCAGGGAGGGGGTTGAGTCCCCATCCCTGGCTGTGTTTAAGAACCGTTTAGATGTGGTGTTGGGGGATATGGTGTAGGGGAGAACTTTAGAGTAGGGTGGATGGTTGGACTCGATGATCCCGAGGGTCTCTTCCAGCCTAGATAATTCTGTGATTCTGTGATCTACACTAACTACAGCAGACAGGGCAGGTCACAGAGAGTCTTGGCTTGTTACCCTCAAAAGTCATGAGATAAATTAACATCTACTGGTCTGTACCAGTAGAAAAGAGCCGATACCTCCTGGAGATGGAGAGGGCTTATGCCTCTCAGAGGTAGTGGTCCAGAGCAGAGAGATGAACTGGTGTTCAGCACTCCATCATGGTGTAGGTGCAGGAGCTGGGGAGGGGGGAAAAGCTGCCTCTAGAGCTGCCTCTGCTATTTTGGGGATCATGGAACTCAAATTGGAGCTTGCTCACAGCTCTGCAAGGGCTGTCCCTGATGTGCTGCCACCTTAATCTCTCTTACACATGTCTCTGGCTGTAACTTTCAGTGCTGATTCCTCCAGAGGAGAGTCATTTTTGTTCATTTTTTGGTCTCTGCTTTATCTATGCAGGACTAGCACCTTGCTATCAGCTTGGAAAAACGCATGGCCCCCTCCCAAAGAATTCAACCCTCGTGAGTAGGAGGCAGTAAATGAAAGCAGTGGCCTCATGGAGAGGAAGGGGGAAAAGTTGTGCAAAATAAAAAACAGGTAGAAGAGCTCAAGGGTTCCCTCTGAGCTCCTTGTACCGGGAACTAGTGCAAGAGGCAGCAGTTGAGCACAGGGCCAGTCCTGTTCAGCAGAAGCCAGGTGAGATGAAGGTGAGCTTGATGCCAAGTGTGATGATTCCTTGCTGCAGAGGGAGGAACTAGAGCCGTGTTTACCCCCAGCCAGAACCCACGAGTGCTTTCCACAGAAGGGCAGAGGGTCTGGCTGGAATTTGAAGAGATTGTTGCAATAAAGATACATCCTGCCAACTGGAGCCTTTATCCAGTTGCCAAGTGCTTGTAAATATTGTGCGTAAATATTGTTATCGCCGCTTTATTAAAGGGAAAATGAGATGAGACGTGTGAAGGGTGAAATATTAGAGCAGCACCTAACTTTTATAGTGCCTCCGTTAAAGGGAAGCTTTTCAGGCCTGCTGGTCATATGTGCTAGGAACTTAAGTGAAGCATAAATGAATTTGGTGTAGCAGAATATCAGTTCACAGAATGACATGGGGTTGGAAGGGACCTCTGGAGATCATCTCCTCCAACCCCCTGCCAGAGCAGGGCCACCCAGAGCAGGTCCCACAGGAATGTGTCCAGGCGGGGCTTGAATGTCTCCAGAGAAGGAGACTCCACCACCTCTCTGGGCAGCCTCTGCCAGGGCTCTGCCACCCTCACAGGAAAGAAGTTCCTCCTCATGTTTAGGTGGAACTTCTTATATTCAAGTTTGTGCCCATTTCCTCTTGTCCTGTCCCTGGGCACCACTGAAAAAAGAAAAATACAGCCACACACCAGTGGAACTTCCACTCCTCCCTGCTCAGGTCCTCCTTCCTTCCACTTTACACATCTCACCTCTGCCAGACAATGACTCTGCACAACTGAGCAAGATGGGAGCTGGGAAGGATTAGACATTTTCTGAGCTGCCTTAGGTGTTCCTGTAACTCATCCACCAACCAACCAAGGGTTTCAGAGCACGTTGTACATTTTCCTGCTGCAGGGCTCCACGCTGACAGCTACTGAGGATCCTACACAGAAGCAGCACTTTAGCAAGGGCCCAGTGGGATCTTTTGTGGGATCAACAACTCTGAAAACATAGTCCCTAAACATGGTAGTAAGAGCCTGATGTTTTTTATACTAATGCTTTCAGTAGACCCAGGCCTGGGCTTATAAAAGGACCCGATCATTTTGCTGAAGTAGAACTAGAAGGCTCAGAACACAGGATTGAGCCATCATGGGAATCTGCAAATTAGATTAATTTATCAAAAGGGGGAAAGAGAGAGTCAACTGCCATCTCAGCTGCGTGTGCCTGATTAGATCATAGCACAGATTTGCCCTGGTTTTATCTAAGTCTCATGTACCCGGCCAAGTGGAGCTCGTGGTATCTGCTAGAATATTGACAGCACCACAATCAGGCACCATCACACGTGGCAAATAAAGCAAAGGAGCCAGAGAGCAGGAGACATCTCAGCTTCACCCCGGGCACAGGGCACGCTGTGACAGCTCAGACCCTCCTGCTGCAGCTACACAGAGGGAACACACAACCCCCATCTCCTCTACGGACCTTCATCACGCTGCAGAGAGTGATTTTGTGGATGCTGTGATTTACCCGGGAAGCCACAACGGCCCCGGATTGGCCAAAGGTAGCTCTAAGCCCATTTTGTGCTTAATTACCAAAAACTGTGAGGGCTGAACTCGCCTGCAGCCTGGCTGCTGACTCACACCACAAACCTTTCTGTAAACTGAGAGAATGAACCCGGCCTCAGCACCCCACCCAGGGAGGTTTGAGGGACTATTTACACAGCACTCAGATACCGAGGTGAAAAAGCGTTAGAGAAACACAAAGTAGAAACATACTTTTGGGGTGATTATTGCTGCTGCCTCGAGAACAAAGGTGGGAATTCATGCTGGATACTTGGGGCTTTTAGATGGATCTTTCCTGACAAGCCGACAGCCCCAGACCTC